TCTGGCATGAGTAGAGTCTGCAGTTAACACGATAGTGATCCGCTCCCAAAGATATATGGCCTCACCCTGAACAATGATCGTTTCACAGGCACACAGGCACGTCTGAGCACAACACTCCAGATTACCGTTTACTCAACGCTGAGGCGCGCTGCTCAAACCTCTTTGTTTTGGCGGTCTGGAGGCAAGTCTGCCACCCTGAACAGTTCTACCTTTACTGTAGATCCTACGCATACCCTATAGGCCACTGCTGGGCTCGCCCCCTGGTCGCCTTTCGTTAGGGTGATTCGAAACACTTGCCCACGCTAAACCCCGTTCATCAGGTAAGATCACAGGGTTGTTCTGTACTTCGGCGTCACAACCTTAAACAAGAGCTTACTCTTGCTCAATACGCATACACTGTAGGCCATCCACGCACTGGGCATCGTTTACACTTAGCATGTTATGAGACTTCGAGCACACTATTCGATTCCCATTTGTACTCAGCACACCGTGTCATCAATCATAGCTGGTGTTCGTATGTTGCACGAGGGAAGTATCAAATGCTAACCCATTTCCAGCTAGGGCAGAGTCCCAAGTGATCGGTTTTCACTCGTTCACAACGCAGAAGAATCTGAGCACAACCTTTGCCAACATGAGGCAAAAAGGGTCACAGGCTCTCGCCAATTCATCCGTAACACTGGGTGTTTGCTGTATTGGGTGAGTTCGGGTGTTGCTCGGGGCCCCGTTACATAATCCGTACCTTTTGTGTTGTCAAACAAAATGTAAAGGGCACTGTCAGCTCAGCCGCTCATACGTCTGTTTTAACTGAAAACTGGAGCAGTCTGTGCTCAGAATCCAAGTTTTCCACCCGAGGGGCTCCGTTCCTTGGCATTTGACCTATCCGCACTCAAGCTTAAAGAAAAGAAATCAGGTAAGGACGAGGGCTCAGAAAAGAGCTGCCCTGGTGCTCATGCCATTACCGACTACATAGAGGTCAACAGCGGTGAGAATCTTCAGAAGAAGCAAGGAAAAAAAAAGGGGTTCACACAACGCTTCACGCTTTTCTGATTGAAACCTTGTTTGCTGTGATGGGTACTCAATTTATTTTTCCATTGGGTTAGATCCTACCCGTCCAGGCAAAACGACACTCAGTCACCATCAAGGAGGAAGTTAGCGAGGACATAGGAGATTCCCCTTAGTACTAACTTTCTTTTCCCCATCCAATCAGGAGTCAAGGCGTAGGAAGACAGCCGACGAAAATCATTCTTTACATTTTCCCCCTTTGTAGAAGAAGATCCTCACAGTTGATCAAACACTCGCCAGCGGTTATCAGACTCACAAGGCACACAACTTGCACGCGCAGGTTAATGCAGGTTTTCACAGACTCGCACCCTCTCTTCTCACAGCACAATCGAGTTCTATTCTCTATAGGCCACCATCCAATTGAGTGAACACTTGCAAGCCTACGCTTTTACGCACTTGCGCCGTTACATGGCGCAGTCACGCAGCACAATCACATGGAACAAACGCACGATGCAGCCACATGGCGCAATTGCACGGCGCAATAGCATGGTACAGTCACAAGGTATAGTCTCGCGGTACTGTCACTCAATACGGTCACGTGGCCCAGTTGCACGGTATAGCCACACAGTACAGTTACGCAATGCGATCACATGGCACAATTACACGATGAGATCACATGGTGCAGTTACATGATGTGATCACATGACACAATTGCACGGTGATCACACACAATACACAAGTGTCAACATCAAGATTGTCCAACCATTTCAATTTTGCTAATTTCCTTAGAATAGTAGCCTGTGCTTTAGACTCTTTTCACTGCCAGCTCGTTTCCAACTGTTGTCCCGTGTCGGGGCTTCACCCCCTTGTTTACCTATTCGCACGATCCACCGCAGGCTTAACCCTCGTCAAAGTGGGACATAATCGGTCAACAACGATCAATCATCCTAATTAACCAAATAAAAGGAAGGAAAAGAGAGCCGAAATTAAAAGTCGAAGGAAGTTATCTTGCAATAGTCACCATCTTATCTGAGATTTTCGGCCTGAGCAACCACAAAGAAGCGGATCGGCAGTCTCTGACAACCGTGCTCGTCACAGGCTGAAGGTCACTTAGGAGCGGCGTGACAGATGGTAAGAAAAATCGTCTTCAGAGAAACGAGACTTTCTCTGCAACTAGTTCTTGGCCAAGCTGATCACGCATGCACGGGACAAACGGCGGAGATTGTGTGACACGTCAACCGTTTTCTCGGAATGCATCAGGATACCGAGGAGATCTTAACAGACAATGGAGTAGAGTTGCAAGGGGAGGTCTTGAGGATCCTAGTCATACATGGCGTCTCCATTCGGAACACCGCTGCCCATATGTCTCAATCAATGACCTCGTAGAAAACGTAAATCAAGTGATGAAAACCGCCCTACGACGGAATATCGCGGTTAGGGACACGAGGCCCTGGCCGGACGTTGTTGATCACATTCTGGCCATTCATCCGGGGACACCTCACGAGTCCACAGATCTGTCCCCGTTCCAATTACGGACCAATCGCCTAGCCTGCGTAGCTCTGCCAAGCTTGAATGACGAAACGTTGGGTCGACAACCTACAAGGGTGATGGCTAATGAAAATGCCAAGCGACACTGAGAACTGATGGAACAAACCCTCCCTCGTTTGGCTTTGAAAAGACAGCGAATGATAGAAATGGCCAAAGGCCAACAAGTCCGGAGTTACGAGGCTTGAAATCGGAACGTTGGACCTCGCCCCAGTACAAATTAGGGGACATCATGAAGGTGAGGAAATGTGCTCGTCAACGTAAACAAGCGCTGTCGAGCGCATCGGTCCGACACCGCATCAGGGCAGCGCGGGACCCTCTCGGCCGCGTCACGCAAGAGTTGGTTTAAATCCTTCGTCGCAGATAATACATGTGGAGCTTCCGCAAGCCGCTCCGCCCGAGTGCGCCAGCCATACCTCTTGCGAGCCCCTACGACAAGATAGGGCCTATGCGAGGCACGACTTACCTACACCTTACAGGAGTTGTCACCTCCCTTTGGTGGGCGTATCCCCGCCGAGCTACCAGTCCACAGTACGAAAGCTAATCAGTTGCAATCGCAGAGGTGGACCAACCGAGGGCGTTTCTCGTTCGTTGTAGCATAGGGGGCACGCGCGGTAATACGCCTCTGTCGGACCCGCACGTGAAACGTCATCTTGGGGGGCTGAAGTCCCAAGCGCGATTCAACGTCGGTCGACTAGGACGCATCCCACACAYCACGCGCACACCACTCTWACAACCGCAGGACAATCAACACACACACACWCACACACACAAAACGACACRMCGCGAACAACGCGACAACGCTCCCAGCCCCTCGGTAGTCGTCCCGTAACTCTCTGATGCGGAAATCGAATAGACGTCACGCGCGAAACTTTGTATAAAACTGCGCTGACGCAGGGGTGACTCATATCGACTCGCAATGCAATCGTACGCAAGCAGTCGCAGCGATGGCGTACTATGTGGTACCCATACTTATGCGGTCCTCGTTAATCTCGAGGGTCACATTCGACACWCAAGTGTCGGCTGACGCGCGCCTTGAGGGTTAATCTCTCGATGYTGGACAACCGCCGTGCGCGGTTKWGGACCACACACCCTCTTCTGCACCCTTATGCAGAGCGGGTGGTACACAGGTTTTATACCTGTGGTGGTAGTCGTTTCTCGCGGCCCTAGGGGTAAGTCCTCCCCGGGCCTGGGCGAAAGTCAAGGGGTTCGACTTTGACGGCTGCCACGGACTACAACGTCCAACCATAAAAAATCTCTAAAAAGCAAGGATAAGGAATAGACCGACGGTTCCCCCGTCTAATAAAAATCATAACCCTGGGGTGCCCTCCCCTTTTTCGCGCGGTGTCAGCGACCTATAGTAATCACAAAYATTYGTCCATAWGTGYCGGTCCCTTTTTAATCCCATAACTTTTACACACTAGGGTGRCRAAACGTTGCGCGCGGAATTCTGATATAAAGCCGCGCAGCTGCAGGYCAATCTCATACCAACCAGCAATGTCAACCTTGAGTGGTAATCGCGGCTCCGGCCTCGCGATATTGAATGGCTGAAGGAATATATTGTGGGGGGGTGTTACCCCACACGATATTGAACGGCTGAAGGACATGTCGTTCGACCCTCGCGACACTTCCGCCTTCAGGGTGGGGTGCCCCGATGGGTAAAGCGAATAGGATCTGCGCGAGGGAAAATCCCTCCCCTGTAGAGCCCAGGGCTTGGGATGTCCTGGACAAGGACCTTGAATCCCGGCCCAGGACCAACGTCCGACTAGGAAAACCCCCAAGAAGCAAAATAAATAAAAAGTAGTGGTCTTCCCTGGGCCTCCCAGTCTTAACCTCTGGGTATGCTTTCTGTACGGGGCCCTTAGCCAATGCAATTATTCACCCCAGGTATACCCATGTATGCATATATAAAAAAAGGAAGTATGTGACGATCACTTCTCACAGTCTCACTGWGGTCCCTCACAATAATACGTATATATGTGATCGCAGGCAACCAAATCCAGAATCTTATTCACAGCACATACCGGCAATCACATCAACGAGTCAAATCAACAGCCCACACACTACACGGAGTCAACCCCAACCATCTTCGACACTTATACCCCTCGCTCTAGCCATGCAAACCCCAAACCTTCTGTCCAATCAACCTTAATTAAATACTAAGTACCCTTTGTTAAATGGTCATTCAATAAAAGTCCGGGTGAAACCATAATGAAACAAAGAAAATCACCAGGGCTAAAGCCTTTTAGGTTGGGTGTGGAGGGTGAGCTGGAATTGAGTCGAAGTTTGCCGACGCAGCAAGCCCCGCAACCGCAATCCCTACGGCGAGTTACACCCGATGCCTATCCCACGGGAACCCGGTCTCTCCATTGCCATAGACGTYACCGGTCCGTTTCCTCGCGACCGGCTCGGGCACGACRRCATCCTCACGGTTGTGGACCAATTGAGTAAGTACGCGCGTTTTCTCCCTTGCAAGTACTACTCCACGGCTCCCGAGCTGGCACGCCTCCTGCACACTGGTTGGATTTGTGGCCACCAGAAGACATTGTCAGCGACCGCGACACTCGTTTCATGTCGGCGTTTTGGACTGCTCTCATGCAGGAGTCCGGCACAACAATGAAACCAAGTTCGGCTCGACACCCTGAGACAGACGGGCAGACAGAGCGGGCACATCAGACCGCTCAAATGATGCTTCGTACGCTCATCCGTCCGGACCAGAAAGATTGGGTTGACCGCCTCCCCGACATCGAGTTCGCCTACAACACTTCGGTGCATCTGGCGATCGGCATGACTCCATTTGAGTTGCACCACGGTGGACGGAAAGGCCGGATCTTCGCCGACCTTCTCCTCCCTCGACCAGCCGACATTGACGCTGCCTGCTCTCCTTCTTCCGTCCGGAAGTACAGGGAATTGCTGACTCAAGCCCGCGCAAATATGCAAAAGACTCAAGCCCGCGCAAATATGCAAAAGGCTCAAGTCCGCATGCAGCAGCAAGCCAACAGGCGTCGCGTACCATGTCCCATCCGCGCCGGTGATCTGGTTTGGGTCTCCGCGGAAGAGTTTGCACTGGAACAGGATATTTCACGCAAACTGCTTCCCAAGTGGTTTGGACCTTGGTCTGTGACAGCAGCCGCGGGCGATGAGCCCGATGGCCCTTCATTTGTGATCAACATTCCAGAGCATCTGACGGTCCATCCGGTCTTCCACGCCTCGAAGCTGACAACTTATATGCCAGCCAAGAGCGACGACTTTCCGGACCGACGATCGCATGACCCTCCTTCTATGGATGGTCATCAGGAAGTTGACCGCGTCATCTCCGATCGCAAGTACGGCAGCAAGCCTCGACAGTATAAAGTCACATTCAAAGCATGCGATCGCGACGACACTCGGTGGATATCAGGCGCAGATTTGAAAGCATCCGCACCGCTGATCTACGCGCATTATGAAAAACGCAGATTAGCTCAGGAAGCTTCACGACCTGCCCCTCCCACCCGGA